TTTATAGACAAGAACATAAAGACACTGATTTTATATGTATATATATAATATATATTCCCCATGTATTTAAAGTTACAAAGATAATTATAGACATGATGAACAGATGCACACAAACTGAAAATATTGTTGACAGAATTTAAAGACTTTAAAACATGGAGCTATTCTATATTCATGCTTCTGTTCATGTAATAATGTTTAGAAGTCAGTTCTTTCTAAAGTGACTGAGGTTTGTTTTATTGTGGTTGCTATTTTATGTTTTAGCTGCACTGATATACGAACTCAAGGTCTGTTTGCTGTGAAGGTACTGTAGTGCTGACCCGTAATTCCAACATTTTTTTCCCCAAGCTAGCTCCTGGACCTCAATCCTCTTATTTTATGCTTCTTGACATAGCTGATATGGCAGCCCATGCTTCCACAGCCATCTTCTTCCACTGAGATAGAATCTTATAAACTATTATGCCTAGACTGGCCTTGAACCATGATCTTTTTAATATCAGACTCTCAAGTAGCTATGATTATCAGCATGAGTTACTGAATCTGGTTACAATTGTTTGTTATTTGTCTCGCTGGTTGATTTTCTTTTTGTAGAAAAGGACATGTGGGCTATTTATTTTAAAGTAGCATTAAATTTTTGAGCTAGCATAGATTTGTAATATAAAGCACATTCATTGTGATATTTCCATACTAGACAGAGTAAACATTGAACTTTCTACTATGTTCTAATTCTGTGTCTCTGTTGTTTTGAAACATTAGGTAATTTTCATTATTTTGTATTCATTTATATAGCATGTCCTTCAATCCTCTTCACCCTTCAGCATCGTCTGGCTTTGAATAATTATACTGAAATGAAAAGAACCTGGATTAGACAGCACAATACTGGAAAGTTTAACAAGTATGATGACTTGCCTTATTCGATTTCAACCAAGACAACGACCAAGAGAACATTATATTGTTGTAATATGTATATATGTATTTGTATGCATATATATATACATATGTGTAATCATATGGATATGTACATTCAAACTTTCCTCTACTAATTACAGGGTCATCTGTCAATGATATCAATGTGCATTAAAATATCATAAGTCAAAATGTATCATAATGTTGAAAATAATGTACATTGAAACTGTTATATAAGTTGAAGGCCATCCATGTGGGTGTGTGTATACATAGTGTGTGTGTGTGTGTGTGTGCATATATATATATATATATATATATATATTACATGTATTTGGGTTTTTTGGTTTTTTTTATTTTCATTTTTTGTGACCATACTCTGCAGAGGGGTTACAATTACATGGACAAGATAATGAGCGCATTTCTTATCAAGCATTGCAGCCTCCTCCTTTGTTTACCCTTCACATCCCTTCCCAGCCTCCCCCTCACCCCTCCACCCAATTCTCCCTCCCCTCCCCGCACCAAAGTTGTAAAGTTTGTTTTCAACATTACAACTTGTACTTCTCATTGTTGCAACCGGTCTACCTGTATCCTTAAACGACTTGTTTTTCCCCATATCCTCCACAAATTATACCAACATCAAATATAGTGAAAGCAGGGGTTATACTGTGGGGGAGGGACATACAAAGCAACAAAGAAATAATCTTATAAACGCATTAGAAACAAATGCATGAAAGAAAAACATTTAAATACGTATCCAAGGGTTCATTTTCCTAACATCACATTACCTGACTTCTGCTTGACTCATACATATACTAGATATTGCAAATAAGGGAAACCATGGGACCTATGTTTCTTTGGGCTTGGCTTACTTCACTTAATATAATTTTTCCAAGCCTTTCCATTTCCTAACAAATGGGGCAATGTCATTCTTTCTGATGGAGGCATAGAATTCCATTGTGTATACATACCACATTTTCTTGATCCATTCATCTAGTGAGGGGCATCTGGGTTGGTTTCATATCTTAGCTACGGTAAATAATGCTGCAATAAACATAGTTGTGCTGGTAGCTTTAGTGTGGTCTTGTCTGTAAACATTTGGGTAAATGCCCAAAAGTGGGATTGCTGGGTCATAGGGGAGCCCTATGTGGAGTCTTTTGAGGAACCTCCATACTGCTTTCCAAAGTGGTTGAACAAGTTTACACTCCCACCAACAATGAAGTAAGGTTCCTTTCTGTCCACATCCCCTCCAGCATCTGTTGTTGTTAGAGTTCTTGATTTTTGCCATTCTAACTGGGGTGAGGTGTTATCTCAATGTTGTTTTGATTTGCATTTCTTTTATAGCTAGAGAGGTTGAGCATTTCTTCATGTGTCTATTGGCCATCCTTCTTTCCTCTTCAGAGAAGTTTCTCTTTAAGTCTTTCACCCACTTACTTATTGGGCAGTTGTTTCTTTGAGGATTTGTTGTTGGGTGGTTTAATTTTTTGAGTTCCAAGTATATTTTAGATATGAGACCCTTGTCCGTTGTATGGCTAGTGAAGATCTTCTCCCAATATGTGGGCTTTCTATTGATCTTGCTAGCTATGTCCTTTGCCATGCAAAAGCTCTGCTACTTCATGCAATCCCACTTGTCCAACCTTTCTTTGATTTGTTGTGTTTCCGGGTCTCTATTAAGAAAATTTCAGCCTGAGCCAAGGAGACCTAGGGTTTCTCCTATTCCATCCTGTAATGTTTTCAGAGTGTCTGCTTTGACTCCGAGGTCTTTGATCCATTTGGAGTTGATTCTGGTGCAGGGTGATATATAAGGATCCAGCTTTAGTTTTCTTTTTTTTAATTTTTTTTATTGTGAAAATACTGTACAGAGGGGTTACAATTACATGGGCAAGATAATGAGTACATTTCTTCTCAAACATTGTAGCCTCCTCCTTTGTTTGCCCTTCCCATCCCTTCCCATCCTCTCTCCCCCACCACCCAATCCTCCCTCCCCAAGTTGTAAAGTTTTCTACAAGTAGTTAACCAATTTTGCCAGCACCATTTACTGAAGAGGCTGTCTTTCTTCCATTCTATTATTTTAGCTCCCTTATCGAAGATTATTTGGCTATGGGTCTATAGGTTCGTTTCTGGGTTTTCAATTCTATTCCATTGGTCCTGAGGTCTGTTCTTATGCCAGTACGAAGCTGTTTTGATTACTATGGCTTTATAGTAGAGTTTGAAATTTGGTATTGATATTCCTCCAGCACTGTTCTTTCCATTGAGGAGTGTTTTTGCTATTCAGGGTCTTTTATTGTTCCATATGAATTTTTGGATTGCCTCTTCTATTTCCTTGAAGAATGAGGTTGGAATTTTGATAGGTATCACATTGAATTTGTAGATAGCCTTGGGAAGTATTGCCATTTTCACGATGTTAATCTTTCCAATCCAGGAGCATGGGAGGTTTTGCCATTTTCTAAGTTCTGTTTTGATTTCCTTTTTCAAGATTTGAAAGTTTTCATCATAGAGGTCCTTCACTTCTTTGGTTAAGTTAATTCCTAGACATTTTATTTTTTGAGGGGCTATTACATATTACATGTATTTGTGCATACATAGAGAACAGCCATGCATTGCTTAACAGTGGGAATATAGCTTTTACAAGCAATGGGATATGACATTACACAAACCTCCACGACACAGCCTACAAACTGGGGCTGTATCATATATATAGGATACATATAGCCTTACATGTAGAACCATGGTGAACAGAATGATATGAGATTAAATAACACACTAATTTCATTTTAACTAAATTTTAATTTAAGTTGATTAATTTAACTTAACCTAAATTAATACACCAGTGCAACATCACTACACTTCCACTAAATTGGTTAAAATGTAAAAGCCTGATAGTATAGCAGGTGTTTGGGACAATTTAGAAACACTGCAATACTCACACCATGTTTACATGGATACAAACTATACTGAACTCTGTTATATTTAGAAAACATTCTTATTTGTATGACTCTGTAGATTTGTTCTTTGTTGTTTAAGCATGTAATAACAGATTTCTGCTGAAATGTTCATGTTATTTTTTTCTTAGTAACAATAAATTGAAAACAACTTCTATGTGCATCTACTAGTGAGTGAAGAAATGGTGGTATATCTAAATGGTTGAACATAACTCAGTAATAAAAAGAATAAATTATTTATGCATATGCCCACCCAGAGGAATCACAAAACATTACACAAGGTAAAAAGATAAGCAGATAAAAAGAGTTGCTGTTGGGCTCAATACTTATAAAATTTCTGAAAATTAGAAAGTCTAGAGGGCTCTAGGAATTCTTTGGTCTGGATAACAGAAAAACTCTATACTCAGATGCTACCAGTGATTCCATGAGTATATGTAATGTAAAATCTAACTGAATTATATGCTTTGATATGTTGGTTTTATCAGATATAAATTATATATTAATAAAATACAGAGGGGAAATACTGATGAATAAAGCAGAGTCCCATTCTAGTTTTACATTCCAGACAGAGAAGTTTGAACTCAGTCTATTAAACAACTATACAAAAGAGCAATTGTGAGGTGCGAGAAGAACTTGGATTGTTTTCAGCACTAGTATTTTTTTTCTTTTTTCTAGTTGTGAAAAGTCCTAGACAATTTTTTTTATTTTTTTATTGTGAAAATACGGTACAGAGGGGTTACAATTACATGGGCAAGATAATGAGTACATTTCTTATCAAGCATTGCAGCCTCCTCCTTTGTTTCCCCTTCCCATCCTTTACCATCCTTCCCCCACCCCTCCATCCAATCCTCCCCGCTTCCCCCCACTACCAAAGTTGTAAAGTTCATTTTCAACATAACGATTTGTACATCTCATTGTTGCAATGGGTCCGCCTGTATCCCTATTTAAACAATTTGTTTTTTCCCTTCCCCTCCCCAAATTATACCGACATCAAATACAGTGAAAGCAGGGGTTATACTGTGGTGGAGGGACATACAAAGCAACATAGAAATAATCTTATAAATGTGTTAGAAACAATCACATGAAAGAAAAAAGCATTTGAATACATATCTTAGGGTTTATTTCCCTAGCATCAACTTATTTGACCTTTTCTGCTTGAGAAAATGATGGTTAGATGCCACAAAGTAGGTGGCAATGCCTTAACCGCATGCGTGTTGTCAGGCCCAATGGCCTCTTCTACCCTTGCCAAAGGGAGTGATAACCTTCTCTCCTTTCATTCAACACCCTAGATAATTCTTTTAGCAAACTAAATAGATGTTGAATGCATGGACAGACAGAAAGACAGACAGACAGACAGATATATTTTGTTTTTTTAGAAATGGACATGTGGATTATTTATTGTAAAGTGGCATTAAAATTTTTGAGCTAACATAGTAATATAATGCATGTTCATTGAAATATTTCTGTACTAGACACAGTATACATTGAGCTTTCTACTTTGTTCTAATTCCTCGTCTCTAATGTTTCTATCTATCTATCTATACATACATACATACATACACAGATGAATAGATTTGTGAATATACTATATATACATACATACATAGATGATAAACAGATGAACAGATTTGTGAATATACTAATGTATATATATATATATATATATATATATATATACTAATTATGAGTTGATGTATTCCCTTAAAGATAATATAAATTTGCCCAATTTATATGAGAGCCAATGAGGGAAGAGCTGATATTGTCCAAAAAGAAGCATACTCTTTACCTGACTTACATAACTGTAACCATCTGTATATCACCTTTAAACTATCAATAAAGGGACTGGGAAGGTGGCTCAGTGGTAGAGCGCTTGCCTTGCATGCATGAGGCCCTGGGTTCGATTCCTCAGCACCACATAAGCAAAAAAGAAAAAAGCCAGAAGTGGTGCTGTGGCTCAAGGGGTAGAGCACTAGCCTTGAGCTGAAGAGCTGAGGGACAGCGCCCAGGCCCAGAGTTCAGGCCCCACGACCGGACCCAAAAAAATAAAGTAAATACAATAACAATAAAAATTTAATTGCAAAATATTACATCTGACATTCAAGTCAGACAAGAGTAGGAGGGAAGTAGACTGCCAAATATAATAGATATCCTTTGCCCTAATAGTCTGAAACAAAAATTAAATCAAAAAAATGTCCACCCCACACATTAAGCATAAGAAAATCTACCTGCTATAACAGAATGAAGGATCTCACCATTCCAGGTCAGCTGAAAGCATGACTGGTAGGTGCACAATTTCCCTCTTGAGAGAAGTTGCTTAACCATGAAGGGCATGTCAGAATCACTATTATTTTTTTTCAAAACACCAAGGAGTTCACCAGGAAGAAGGCAGTGCAGGCATGTCAAGTCAGTCCAGGCTAGAGCACACAATTTCATTAACTATTCAGCATTATGAGGAACTCCTTGTTTTACATTTAGGATTTGATTCCCTTCAGGACTGAAGTGGTGTGAAATCCTTGTTACACAGAACCATTGGGGACTGAAGGGCTCTAGCTAGTTCTTGTTGACACAGAAGTACTGTGCAAATGATACATGGACCAGCACCTGTCAGGAAGTTATATTACATTCAACAGTGAATCTTTATAAAATATTTTGCCAGAAATCTCACTAGATGATGTGGAAATTATTTACTGCATGTATAATAGTCTTGAAATCTGTGCTCTAATATGATACAGCAACCAGTAAATGATAGGAACAAAATGTTTCCAAAAAATGATGGACAGAATGAGATTCTATCTCACTGGTATTCTAATAAGTACAGACTGAAAATAAAAAGCAAATCGTTCTTCTCAACCAAATGGATCTAGAAGAAAAGTTGAGGTTGGTGATTTCCACTGAGGTCTATGATAGGGGAAATATGATCGAAGGTAAAAACTGGCAACATTATTGTGAGAAACAGTTTGTCAAGATCTGTTGAAAGGTTGGATCACATTTGCTTAGATCTATCAATTCTTTTCTCACAACTGGATTCACATAAATATTGACCCATATGTGCAAAGATATTTATGGCCATAATGTTTGAAAAGGAAAATACTGGAAACCATTTTAATAACTATTGACAGACAACTGAGAATTTAATTCATTCTCTACCCACACTATGGAATTCTCGGAAGCTTTGAGAAAAGAAATGAACAGATTTGCATAGAGTCCAATAAAATGAATACCAGCATATATTTTTAAATAGAACAAAGTCAATTTCAAAAATTTTAATTTTATGTCATCCTGCTGACTGGCAATTGTTATATTTTATTTGCACATTGTTTTAGTTCCAAAGGAAGAAAGAAAGAAAGGTAAAGAATCCATGGCATTGGGGAGGGAAGCATTGGTAAGGGAAAAACAAAAGAGGAGGTAACAATGCTCAATGTTACTCATGTAACTGTAACCTCTCTGTACAGTATCTTTACAATAAATATATATTTTTAAAAGAATACATGGCATGATTTAGCTGAATAATTTTCTTCCTTTTTCTTCTTTATTCATTTTTTTCTTCTTAGATATATTTACCATCCTTTCTCTCCCTCTATTACTTCAACATGTATTGCTCTGTTCCTATATAAACTAGTGATTAATTCTAGGTACTGAAGGTATAAATATGATGTTTATTGGGAATATATAAGAACATATAATAGTACATTACCTTGTAATAATATCACAGTAAGGAATTAATCTGAGCAGAGAAAAATTAATGGAGAACTTTGAGGAGAGAGGGGAAAGCAGTAACAATAGTATAAAAGATAAATAAAATTGTCAATATAAATAATTAGCAATGTTTCATAGAGAAGAAACCATAATTTAGTATCAAATAATCACCAGAGCTGATACTCTTTGAATAGAAGTGATAAGAGAGAGAGAGAATGAGAAAGAAAAAGAAAAATGACTCTATAAATTCAGGGGGAAAACTGTCAGAATTCATTGCTAAAATCTGACCCCTCAATTGGAAGGCACACAGATTATTTAAATGTTCAATTTGCTACTACGAAAATCCAAAGAGTCAGGAATGCTTCTTTTCCACCCAAGGTAATGGAGGTGTCTTGGGTTGTGCTTTTGTCTATATGTGTTTGTGAACCTTTTCACCTTCCTCTCAGAATTTACAAGCTCTCATGAAACCATAGGTTAGCACAGCTTTAATAACGTGGCTATTAAGCATAGAGTGCCTCTACTTCATAATTTATATTAGAGTGACCAGAGCAGAGAAATTATGTAAAGAAATTCTCTTCTTTCCTAGGAGAGAAAGGAGAAGAGACTTAAAGTACCGGGTCCAACATGAAATTATTCACAATCTGTACTGAACTATGATTGTGTGTTCATCTGCCAGTCTCTATCCACCGTGAGTTAAGTATTAAGCTGCTGTGATTTTCTGCTTGTGAGGACCAAGACTATGTCCCAGATTTTAACTGTTCAAAGGAGAGAGATAATTCTTTGTTGAAAAATAGTCAATAAAATGTGATAGCAGCAATGACTACTTGTGAGCAGTTAAATCTTCATTTGTTTCAGAATTGTCCTAAAATTCTTTCTGTGTTCAAATATAGATGAATAATTTTATATGTGTTTATTACAATGAACTTCATAGACAAGCCATATTATTGTTGAGAAACATAAGGGATAAATTCCCTTTATATTGGAATAGAAAGGAAATGTGAACTAATCATACATTCTCCATAAGACCTTGTAACTATCTCTCTCTCGGCATTTAAACTCAACCTTATGCAAATCATAACTGTAGTTAGTTTTATAGGCTTTGTTCCTTGACAAGATCTGTTTGATTTTCTTTCTAACCTCCTGTTCCATAACACTGTGCCTTACTTGATGTACAGTACTAATTTGCAGAATGAATTAATGGAAGATTGCATATCAATGAATTAAACAAGCTAGCCTTTCATACTTGATGTTTATAAGACAGGCTTTGAAGAGCTCAAGCATGCTTGTTGACTTTTGAAGAGAATTATGTTTTCTTGTAATAAAATAAACACAATGTTCATCTGGAATATCAAACTAAGTCTACATCAAAGGGACACAAGAAAACCTGGGGCTGTACAAAAACCCATCCACGCAATCATCTCCAGAAATGAAAACAGGATGAGAAAGCATCTGATATCCAGGGATGAGGAAATGAGGAATTATTCTGAGCAAATGTTATAACATATGTTAAGTATTTACCTATTTTGTGACTTGAAAAATGAAAAATCATGGTTCATTGTTTTAATAAATTTATAGTCCCTTCTATAAAAGGCTTGTAGAGATGACTATGTTTGCTAAGATACTACTCTGTGTGGAGTGAAAAGCTATGGTGGAAAAACAGAAGCAGCAACTTATTATGGGTCAAGCTTGACCTAGCCACCTTTTGGGACTAGTTGAAAAACAGAGCGAGCATAGTACCTGCTGTAGAAAACCTGCAGAACAGAGCTCTGTATCTATTCATACTTCTCCATTGACAGATGGGGTCCCAGCCTGAAGAGAGGAGGAGGTGGGGGACAGCCCAGCAATGGGACTGGCACTTTGAGTGATGTTCCTGTCGGTCACCAAATCACAATCTGCTCAAGAATAGGTTGCCAGGAAGATGACACTGCCATTTGACATCCCAATAATTTCCTGGGTAACATATGCAATCAGTTCACAGACCCAGCCCAGCACAGTTGGCTGGAGTCAGGGGAGGGGTGGGAAGGGGTGGAAACTTTTTGGCACTTCCAAGCAGACAGGTGGAGAAGCTAAGGATTAAGCTGTTTGCTCAGCCAGCAAGGAGAGAGCTGTGTCAGAAGCTTCTTCAGCCTTCCTCACACTGGCCCAAATATTTTGCCTATTAACAAGCCCTAGCCCGACTACATAATAATTAATGATAATTCCAACCGCATAATCATGAGTTAATTATTTTATGTCTGTTTCTGTCCCACCAGATAGGAAACTCCTTGAAGGCAGAAAACTAAGGACTTTTTTTTTCATTTCCCTCCAAGGAAGTTTTCTGTGTGGGAGACACTGTTTAAATAACAGAATGTGCATAAACGTACTTTATAAATTATAAAGTGCCACTTAAATGCTTTGGTTTATTTTGGAAGGAATTAAGGCAAAAGGAGAAAAATACAAGTTTTAAATTTAAAAAAAGCAGGGGATTTCGAGATATCTATGTCATACCCTAGAAGCAAAGTTTCAGGCTCTGTAATAATTCTTAGTGTTGTCGTGGTTCTCTAAGGACTCTCTTTTATCTTCTTATTTTTTTAATAAAAATTGAGTGT